TCATTCAGCACCATCAGGAAACCGTGAAGTACTTTACTGTACAAGCACATTTACACACATTTAGACCTATGAGTCATAAATGTTTTCTGTTCACCACCACAGTGGATTTTAAACCAAACAGTCAATATGTGACTAAAGTGATTCAAGGGTTTAACAAAAACAGGAATCCCAGCCTGTTTTAGGAAGTTTTTCCAGTCAGTGGAAAGGACCCCAACATTTTCAGGTAGAGCAGTATATGTTTTTCATACGCTGCTCTTGAGCTGTGTTGGACTGCTTTTCCCCTGCAAGCTAAATTCTGAATCTGATGGCTGAGCCGGTTACCCTGAAGGTTTGGTTAGCTCTGTGGTTTATTTGGGTTCTCGACCCGTCCTCGAAGCCTCCCTCGCTTTCATCGTAATTCCTTTTAGATTGCTAGAATTCATTTTTCATTAACTGCAAATCAGTTAATGTAATAATTTTGCTAAACTCCTTAAATCTAAGCTGAAAGTCATTATTTTTTTTTTGTCATCAACAATTTTTATTTAATTTTAAACTTCAATAACAGAACTTAAGGATAACTACATAAATAAATAGTTTAAAAAACAAACAAAAACAAAACAAAAAACAAAAAACCCCACAAAAAAAACAAAAAACACAAAACCAAAACAAAGGAAAGTTATCCTATTCTTTCTTCGCACACCAATCCCCACACCACCACTCTGTCATTACTCTTCTGTCTTCAAGTTACAGAAAGCCAGCTTGTAAAGGACCAAATACAATCATATTGATGCAATTTGTCTAATAAACCATGAGTCACTTTTTTGTAAGACGCCAACTTAGCCATTGTCTTTAGCCACTCTTCATAGGGAGGGGGGCTCTTTTTCTGCCAATGTCTTAGACCCGTTTGGCTGTAGCCAGAATAATCCATCTTTTTGTATAACTGGAAAAATCTCCATCAGAAAGTTCTGTGGTTACACCAAGTATGGACAGTTTTGGTGAGATACCAAATCTCCTTTTTAGAACACTGAAAATTACCTCCATTATATTTTCCCACCAATCCCGAAGTGCCGGACAGCTCCATAAGATATGTAAGTCATTATTTGGTTTAAAAGCTAACACAGTACGTGTGCAGAGGCCAAGTTACAGAAATGCTTTCATTGTCCAAACATGTGTAAACAGAAAGAACGCACAAACATATGATACTGATACGAACATGATACTGCTTTATTTAACTGGTGATGATTAATCGTACACATTACACTTTGATACAAAGCCTTTATAAAGGCAAAGGTTCAAATCTGTGTAACCTGTTTGCACTTTCTGCTTTAATGCTTCTTTCAGGTTGTTGGTCTGCTTTGGGGTTTCCCCCCAGAATCAGACAATGTGTTTAGAGACGATAAGAACAGTAACAGACTGAACCAGCTCTAAATATCCAGAATATTACAGAGATTAAATATATATCGTGTACATTTTACTCTAATCTATTAAACGTTGTTACTTTCACTGCAGAGCATGTGTGCTATTGTACTATTGTATCGATGGAGGAGTTGTACAGGGAGCCACAGACAGGAATGATTTCCTGTGGCGTTCAGTGGTGCATTATGGGCAATCTCAGCCTCTCAGTGAACGTGCTCCTGTGACTGGCCAGCATGTCATGGAGGCTTGTCCAGCTTCATCTTGGACAACATCCGCCTCTCTGACACCACCTTAAGGGAGTGCAGCTCCGTCCCCACAGCATTACAGGCCCTACGGGTCAGTTTATCGAGTCTGTTGGCATCTGTGACCCTCAGCCTGCTCCCCCAGCGTGCAGCAGCGTAGAGGATGGCACTGCTGCAACAGACAGCATCGTCTGACAGATGTTAAAAGACCTTAACCGCTTGTGGAGTGTTGTTTTTAATCCAGTCCAGTTTATTATCTATGTACTCCAAGGGACTTGTAGTCTTCCACAATGTCCACTTCAACCCACTTCCCCAGTGCTCTGCGTCGTCACTCTCACTGATGCATGATCAGAAAACCTCTGATGGCAGGTTTCTGTGCAGTGGCTGAAGTCTGTGCTGTACACGGTCCCTGTGTCGCTGATCACCTGACACACAATGTTGAAGACGCGCATTTTGTGGTCTTCCTGTCAGCTAATCAGCAATCCAGCACACCAGAGAGGCATCCACCTGCATCGCTGGCAGCTTATCACACGGGAGGGTCGGCCTGATAGTGTTGAACGCCTGGAAAAGTCAAAAAACATGACCTCACAGTGCTCGCCGGCTGGTCCAGATGTGCATAGACACCATTGAGCAGGTAGATGATGGCGTCCTCCAGGCTGGCCTGGGACGTCAGTGACACAGGTCTGCAACCCTGGGGTCACTTTGGTACAGGACCAAGGCAGGACGTCTTCAGCACCTCTGCAGACTCAGACTCCTCGTGAACAGAGGAGAGCGGTGCTGAGCAGTTACTACAGTGTCAAATCTGTTGATAAACACATCGAGCACATTAGCCCTTTTTTAATCGGACCTACTTTGATCAGCTTGCTATGGCTCACCACAGCTGGTTTTCCATTACACTTGAGTAGCACC